GAACAAGCTTGAACGAGCAGAGCTCTCGATGGGCGGTCTTAGGAGATCGGCTAGAACTGTACAGTACTAGACGAAAATGTTTAGCAATTTCTTAAAGCAAAAATGTATATAAATTAACAATAGAAAACAAAGCAAAAGTTTTATAGGTGTGCAGAATGTTAAGTTAATTCACTTGTTATTTTTTTTTGGCTAAATATGCTTTTAAATAAAGCATATTTTTAAATTTTAACGAGGCAGTATAAATAATTTTGCAAATGGTACTGTACACTTTTGTCTAGTTCTCGCTCGATGATCGGTAAAGAAATGAGCTCCGCAAACAAATATAATGGAATTTGGAATTATGCTACGGCGCATCCTAATAAAGGAAAGGGGCATATCTCCAACTTCTTGAAACAAACAGTAGTTCTTTGAATGGGACCAAATAGCATCTAAATTATAAAAGCTAAAAAACGAAGGTTTGAAAAGCTCATTTTAGCATGAATGACCGTATCTTTTTCGCCATGGACAAAAATTTTTACGTTATCCAGAGAACGAATAACTTGTTTTTTAAATGAAGTACTTATCTGTAGCATTATTTAATCGATTATGTTATGTTTAAAACTTTATATTTGTAGAAAGGGCTTTCAATTTCGCATCGAACGGTATCTTTTAATATAAGCCATGACAAAAAAGATACGGTAATTCGTGTTAAAATGAACTGTCCAAACCGCAGGTTTTTAGCTTTCATGGTTTAGATGCTAGGTCCCATTCAAAGAACTAACATCGTTTTTTTTTCAAAAAATTTTGAATATCTCAGAAATTACTAGATATAGATACAGGGAGTTGTCAACAAAGTCTATCTAAAATTATACAAAGATATCAAAAATACGAAAATATACAGGGTGTTCCATTACAAATAAGTAATTTAGGTATCGTCCAGAAGAAATGGAACACTCTGTAAGACTGAAAATATTTTCTGTGTATACAACATATGATTCCAGACCACTTATAAAAATATTTGTTTTATTAAATGTATAACAACAGTTATGTACGAACAAGGTGGAACACCCTGTATATACATATGAGGAGTCAGTCGAAGTTGAATATATCGTAATTATTAACAGAGCGAGAAAGCTTAAATTACTGAATTAAATTGATTAAAAGGTACCCAAACAAATTTTTGGTTAAATTAGGTACAGGCCTGACGAAGAAAGCTGGCGAGCGGCCGCGCAGGTACTTGCCCATTTATGACCTATTTGGGTAAGTCACTTGGAACCGATACACAAATAAGCTTTCAATAGGCGTAAATTATAGTATTAATACAGACAGGACAGTAGCGTACGAGAAAATAATGTAGAAACATAACTTACCAAAAAGGAAAAATAAACCTATTGCTTTTGTTTTATAGTTAGTTTTCACATTCACTGTCATCATGGGAATCTCTATCACTGTCACCAACATCAACAATTAGTTCTTCTGTTTGTCTGTCTGTTACTTGCTCACTGATCCCTATTTTTAAATATTTAATCTACGCCCCTGATAGGAATACTGAAGAAAGAGGGCTGCAATCGTTATACCTAAAACTGCCTACTTCTGCCGCCGCGCATCCACGCCATTTTAAAATTTCCGCCAGCTTCCAGCGTCAGGCCTGTATCTATGTACATAAAATTCATAGTTATTTTAGTAAAACCTAAAACAATACATACATAGGGTTTTCGGTGACAACGGATCTATAACGTTACGTGGGTACGGAAGACATTTGTTTTGTGTGTTAATAAATTAATTTTTATTCGAAAATTTTTAGTGATTAGTAAGCATTCACAAAAATATTTGCTTGCTAGTGTTTATAAATAAGTAGTTTTTAAATTAAGTTTTATTTCAGAATTAACGTTGTTATAACAAATAATTTTTAGTCCCTGCAACACTCAAGTTTTGTGTAGGTAATTAATATTAGGCAGGGATACTTTTTCCCAAAGGAATTGTTACGACTGACCACTCCCATGCGTGGTAAAAGTAATTTTAGGGTAACGCAGTTTTTGATGTGTTATAATATACTTTTGCGAATACTTAATATATTGAACTGTTTGGGATTGAACTTCGTTTGAAAAAGTTTCAAGCATCAAGAACTCATGAAGATAAATTTATAAAAAACGAAAACCTTCATTATGAAGGAGTCGATATAAGTGAAAAAGACCCGAGTTAGAAACATTTGGAGTATCTACAAAATTAATCCCACCAGCGCAAGTTTGGTACAATTTTTGATTTTTAAGTTTACGATTAGTTCTGTGTCTAGTGAATCATGCGTATCTGGCGAAGTTGAAAAGATAAAACGTTTGGTTGGTGACTGGTGTGCTGTTTCGTATAGTGAGGGTTTAAATCTCTTCACCAAATACCTATTCTCGTATTGGACCATTTCAGTTCATTTTATTGGACCATATAATAGCTTAATAAGTGTGAGAAGTTGTTGTAATCAATAATCGACTGAAACAGCAGTCTTGATAATTTTTACTAACATAATAACCTTTTTTTAATTTTTGTAAAATCCAATCGAAATCGATTCAACCATTCTGAAGATTAGTACATCCGAAAGACAGACACACAATTTTTTTTTAAAGATAGTTTGTGTTTTAATATTCTACGGATAAACTTATGAGCTTCAGATTTATTTATGTGCATAAGCAAAACCAAGTTTTACCATCGACGACCACATAAAACGGATTTTTTTATCCCTCGGGAGCAGTTTTTATTCTAGATAAAAGGTACGCTATGTCATTTTCTGTACCTGTGGTACAAAATTTCATGAGGATCGGTTGAGTAGTTAAGGCGTGAAAAAGAAACAAACAAACTCACATTCGCATTTAAAATATAGCTAGGATGCAAAAGTGCATTATTCTGTTTGCTGTATAATAAACCATGTATCCTAGTAGAACGGCCTGAGGTAGAGTGGTTTTAGTCGGTAGGTCCGAGGACACCTTCCTCGGGAATCTGACACTATCCAGTCGTACGGATGGCTGGGTGTCTTTTGAAGATTTCCCTTCTTCCACGAAAATATAAAAAAAAAACATGTGTCCCATTTGACCCACTGACCCATCAAGAAGTGGAGTTTTAATTGCGCAAACCATAATTTTATGACTTCGACAGCTCGATCTTACGATTATTTTATTACACTTATTGTAATCCTAAGGTTTCAAGTTTGAAACCTAAGTTAGTGCACTGTGTTCTTAGACCTTTCATTCTGTTATAGAGGAAGCAACAGCCATTCATCCCAAAACAATTCAAAAATTTTGTTAATTCTGTTTGTTGTATTATAAAACCACGTATCACTCTGGCCCACCCTAACAGCCACCCAAAGGAAGTTAACCTTCCATTGCGCAAAACACAATTTTATGGCCTTTGAATCTCGATAAGTAGATCTTACGGTTATTGGAATCCTCAGGATTCAGAATTGAAACCTCAATTAGTGCATTGAGTTGTTAGACCTTTGATTTTGTCATAGAGGAAGCAGCAACTATCCACCCCAAAACAATTCCGAAATTTTGTTAATTCTGTTTGTCGTTTTATAAAACCACGTATCACTCTGGCCCAACCTAATAGCCAACCAAAGGAAGTGAAATTTCCAATGCGCAAAACACAATTTTATGGCCTTTGAATCTAGATAAGTAGGTCTTACTGTTATTGGAATCCTAAGGATTCAGAATTGAAACCTCAACTAGTGCACTGTGTTGTTAGACCTTTCATTCTGTTATAGAGGAATCAACAACCATCCACCCCAAAACAATTCCGAAATTTTGTTAATTCTGTTTGTCGTATTATAAAACCACGCATCACTCTGGCCTACCCTAAGAGCCACCCAAAGGAAGTGAAGATTCCATTGCACAAAACGCAATTTTATGGCGTTTGAATCTCGATAAGTAGAACTTACGGTTATTGGAATCCTAAAGATTCAGAATTGAAACCTCAATTAGTGCACTGAGTTGTTAGAACTTTGATTCTGTTATAGAGGAATCAACAACCATCCACCCCAAAACAATTCCGAAATTTTATTGATTCTGTTTGTTGTATTATAAAACCACGTATCACTGTGGCCCACCCTAAGAACCACCCAAAGACCTTTGAATCTCGATAAGTAGATCTTACGGTTATTGGAATCCTAAGGATTTAGAATTGAAACCTCAATTAGTGCACTGTGTCGTTATACCTTTGATTCTGTTATAGAGGAATCAACAACTATCCACCCCAAAACAATTCCGAAATTTTATTGATTCTGTTTGTTGTTTTATAAAACCACGTATCACTGTGGCCCACCCTAAGAGCCACCCAAAGGCCTTTGAATCTCGATAAGTAGATCTTACGGTTATTGGAATCCTAAGGATTCAGAATTGAAACCTCAATTAGTGCACTGAGTTGTTAGACCTTTGATTCTGTTATAGAGGAATCAACAACCATCCACCCCAAAACAATTTCGAAATTTTGTTGATTCTGTTTGTCGTATTATAAAACCAAAGGAAGTGAAGTTCCCATTGCGTAAAAACAATTTTATTGGAATCCTAAGGATTCAGAATTGGAGCCTCAGTTAGTGCACTGTGTTGTTAGACCTTTGATTCTGTTATAGAGTAAGCAGCAGCCACCCAGTTCAATACAAGTACACAGTACACATCTCGAGGGTTTATTTCATGTGACATCTACTTATAGTTGTATAAACGTTTGAAGACATTCATTTTACAATGATTAAGATAAATCCAAGTGGTTTCTTCCCACAGAAGCAACAATTTATTCATGTATCACCATCCTCCTCCATCATCGAAACTTTTTAGATACAATATAACTCAAAATGTTTTGCTATGTTTTAGTCAAATTATCTAACCCATCCATCATCCTACGAGGTGTCTACTACAACTTAAGACCTTACTCTTCGTTAGATGCATACAAAAACATAGCACAGTTTTGTTCATCTCGTGCAGGTAAAATTAACACAATGAAATTCTACGGTGGTGTGAGCAGTAGCGGCATGTGTACGATTGTATTGTTTGGTTGGTCGGCTCGATAGGTAGGAAAGACGCGGAGCGCGGATCGTATTTTGTTGCGCGCCAACTGCCACCAGTTGCTTTCCGTCGAGACAGTTGTCGAGTTCCCAAACGTGCACATAGATCAAGTTTTAGTCAGTCAGGCAGTCGATCGAGTCGATCCATTCACTTCCTACGGACGGTATTAGATCGACGATTTCGGTACGGATGTCGTTGTGATGTGTTTGCGGCTACTTTTCGAACAAATCGATCCCTGACTCGACTAGACTTTCAGACACCCCATTCTTATTTGCGGGGAGCGATTATCGAGATACGAAATATTCGAGTTCGAGTAGAACACAACTTACATTTAGTTTGTGTATTGTGATTAAGTTCGTTCTTGGGATTTTGATATCACCTTGTGTCATCTGAAGATGTTAGCAGTAGCGATGGTGTCTTGAGCGAGTAAGTTTTTTGTACCTAGTAAGTACTATGTGGTGTGGTGGGTTTTAAACGAGAACGAGCGTAACAGTGAGCGCGGTGAGATCAGCATTGCTTGCTTGCGGCCCACCTTTTAACCTTGTTGTTGAAAGTATTGTTGTAATGGGTTTAAAGATTCAGCTTGACCGTATCTTATCGTTCTTGTTATTATTTAGATCTAGGCTATTATATGTACGGGATGTTTAAGAAAAACTGGCGAATGATCGTCCGTCCAAGTGTTTGATCACTACACAACAATACATTGAATCGCTCCAACGATCAAGCATTGGTGCAATGTCTGTGTAATTTATCATTACTAGATGTAGGTATGTACCTTTCTGTATTCGTTTCGGGAAAGAAGGACCTACGCTATTAATGTTCGAACAGGAACTATTTTCATAAAAGAATAAGAAGTTCCATTTCCATCCTTTTGACACAGTCGCAACTGTGATGATGATGGAGAAAACATCTTCTGGAGACCATAAAATATAAATTCTGTTATAATTGTCCTTTATTTTACAATAAATAAACATGTAAAACAATAGTATCTGGTTAATGAGCTTTGTTGTAACATTTTAAATGACCTTTATATACGTAATAAATGCCGAAGTGAAGAGATGTACGGGCGGGCGTCGTACCTCTGCTAGTTCGAGCACTCGGTGAGAATCTTGCAGCCCTATTACTCCAATAGGGAAGCGGTAGATCGATCTATTGCATCTGGATATCCTTAGTACTTTAGTTGTGCGAAATTCTGATCATAAGTTTTTTTTTTATTTCTTGCAACTAGTTTTAAAGGCACAAGCTGCCACTGCCTTTGGACACTTCAATTTGCCTTTGAAGTTTAATTTCTCATATTTCAAAAACACGTTTTATAGTATGTAATTTGAAATGTTGATCCTTTTATTTCGAAAAAGAAAATGAAGGAATAAAGGTATTCCTCTTTATGATCAGGTCTTTTAGGTCTTTGAGTTTTCACGCGCTTCTTATTATTTTTCTTATTTCATCCCTTTTTATCTTTCGATAATTCTTGTGATATAGGAAAAGTTGTGTACAAAACATGTTTAATTTAATTTTCCTACTGTAGGTATACGGAGTGTGAAATTGGTTATGTAGTATGTGGTATAACAAATTAATTGATTAACGGAGTGAAAGACACACAACTATTTAAAATACTTGAAGAATTGACATAAAATTTCCACAGTTGATGCAGTTCTAGTGTTACATGGTACATACAAAATGCTTTCAGATACTTTGCAAACTCATTCAATTTTACAATAACCAAAATTGTTTAATCACTTTGAATAATAAAGCATACTTCCTATTGCATTGTATTAATATGCCCTCATTTAATTGTAAGGCTAATTGTAAGTTAAAGTGAAATTGTAAAGAAAAATTAAAAATATAGTCACAGTTCAATTATTTACTGCTATTTCTGCATCATTAGTCGGAAAAGTTCCTTAATAAATGAGCAATAGGTTGTTTTAAACTTCGGAGTTCGCGTTCCTAAAATGACCAGAGTAATTCAACAATTATGAGTACCTGTCTGTTATAGAAAAAGGTTTCTGAGGTACTGAAAATTGTATCATGTTTAAGACAATGACTATACGAGGGCGGTTCAATAAGTACCCGTGTTAGACATGAAGACACCTTTTTTTTAAAATTTGTTTTTTTATTTTTCCAAAAAATAAGATTTGTCGAACTCTCCAAAATCCCCCCTGTCTCGGCGATGACTTCCTCGTTTGAGCTTAATTTCTTTCTCGCTAGTCATTTCTTCACGGTAGGGAACAAGATGAAGTCGCAGGGAGTCAAATCGAGTGAGTACGGGGCGGCAGCAAATTCATAACGTAATTCATGTATTTTGGCGGCAACAACTCCTGATGAATGTGCCGGTGCGTTATCGTGTTGAAAACGTACCTTCTTTTTCGTCAAATGCGTCCGTGTCTACTTCAATTTTTTGTCGAAGCGGTCCAACAACTCACTGTAGTATTGTCCAGTGATCGTTCTTCCTTTTCCTAAAAAATCCGTAAAATGATTTCCTCGGTAACAACGTTTGCCAGGCTTCCTGGTCGCTCCTATCAAAAACGGATCTTTGCCCACGTTTAAATTCGTTGAAGCAATATCTAACTGTGGTCGTAGATGGCGAAATGTCTCCATAAACAGTATCCAACTTTGTTTTCATCTCCTCGCATTTTTTCCCATCCAAAAACAAAAAGCGAGTTACCGAACGATCCTGCTCTTTTTCCATCTTATCGAAAATAACGAAGCACGCCTGAGTGGAATGGCTAACTTATCAATCAGTCTGAAATTCGTTTTGACGTGGTTTGATAGATGGCAGCACACGATGACAATACCAATTTCCCTCAGGAACGTCCTCTGTCTTCAAACACCGGTACTTATTGAACCGCCCTCGTAGGTATAATTTTCAGTATTTAATAATTTATGTTTCACAAGAAACTAACAAATAATCTTCTAATAAGAATTTGAAAAACTGGATAATACTTTGAAATTTTAGATAGTTAACAATCCTTAACATCTGTTCGATATACTTTAAAGCTTTTTAAATGCCCCATGTGCTTCTACTGAAATCATTTCTATTAAAAACTTATTACGTTGTCGCATTTGCATAGGGGTGTCAAGGTCTGGAGTCATCAGGCACTAAATAAAAAAGAACGTAATGTGCAGCTGTTTACTTCCATCATTCCGAACAAGTGGTCACGAATTTTCGTTCTAATTCTTTTTTATACTAGCGATTAACAATTTTATTGCCGGCGAATGTGTGCTTTTGTGCCAAGGATCTTAATACCCGATTAGGCGTTTAATCGTTTGGGTTCAGTTCTGTAATGAACCGCGTCCGATAAAACTGATGTTAAACTGCCTAATAATAGTGCCTGCCGTTAATATGATCATCGAGAAGGAAAAGAGATGTCCGCATTGATATCGAACGAAGAATATAGTTGAGTATGAGAAATACAGTTTATCAAGGAACTCCATTTATTCAAATTAATTCTCTTTAATCGCCGACAAGCAACTACATTTTGGAAATCGAAACACTGTATTGATTTTTATGTACTAATTGCTAAAGGCGTATGTCTGGAGCACAGCATAGTACGGGTGCGAAACGTAGACGGTGGGAGTTACAGGCGAATGATGAGGATACCGTGGATAGAAAAGGTTAGAAATGAGGAATTAGAAATAATTGGAAAGATAGAGGGTTTAAGAACAAAAGCTTTCACGGCCGGAATCTATAGTAGAATGAAGATTCGGGCTATAGGGCCGTGGTCTAAGTGAACTATTGTGTCTAGACGTTTCGTCAGCTACTGCGGCTGACATCCTCAGTGGTAGTGCTGCGTTGACAACGTGAACGTAGATTATATTTCGAAGTCTCGACGCAGCACTACCCCTGAGGATGTCAGCCGCAGTAGCTCACGAAACGTCTGGACACAATAGTTCACTTAGACCACGGCCCTATAGCCCGAATCGAGAGGGTTGCCTTGGAAGTCAATAACAAATAGAGGAGATAGGTTGGTAGGACACCTTCTCAGCCATGAAGGGCTACTTAGAGACATTTTAAAAGCATAAACAGGAGTTAAGAGGAGTAGACCTAGATTAGATTATTGTTCACAAATAGTTAAGGATGTGATATGTTCTAGTTTTAGGGAAACGAGAGGACTAGCTCAGAATAGGAAATAGTGGAGGGGCGTGTCCAATCAGTCTTAGGACTGACCAGCCTATGATGATGATGATGATGAAGGCTGATTGAATCTAATTGTGTAACGGTAGTTAAAGCAACTATAAGGAATCGTTTTAAATTTGGTATTATACATATTCCGGATAGAAAAGATTAAAAATGGTGAGGTAATGGAAAAAGAAGGGGGAACAGAAATTGTATGGAAGTCAACAAGAAAAAGGAGGTAGAAGAAAGCTAAGCGTCGGGCAGGGTCAAAGTACCTACTTAAAGGACCTAGCATTAGTGTCTTAGGTTAGCGACATGCGATGGTCAAATCGTCAGGTGTGTGCTTGAGTTGACCGATCCAGTACAAAGCATCAAATCCTAGACTCCGAGGCAATATCTGCGGGGAGATCCCACAACTTTCACCCTTAAAGATCACCCGCAACTTAACCCACTAAATGTGGGAAAAGGCCAAGGCTTAGTAAAGATGATTGATTGGTTCACGAGGGGTGGTTCCGCCCGTTGCACTCATTAGCGGAGTCGGGGTGACATAAGTGTCAAAGGTCAGGGAAAGGTGGCAATCCCATAATTTGATTACCAGTACCGGAACGCAAGTGAGCGGATTGAGTCGTTCCATCAACATCTTACCAGTTATGAAGACTGATACTATGACGCCTGGAGGTCTCAAGTGGGAAATATTCCCGCCAGATAACAAGCCTGTTAAATCTGGCATGGATTAAGTATATCCTTCCCTCACCAGAGCATTCTAGGGGGTTTTGCTCAACTTTTAAATAAAACTAGTAGCGCTGGCTTCAGTCTCCATACGATGATTGAACATATTTTAATCCCCCGTCCATGGGGACCGTCGTGGATAAGCTAAATAAACCAGAGGCAATCTCGAATGTGACACAGTAAAAACTTCCTTTTGTGTTTTGGTAACAGGAAACTTTAAAAACTACAATTATTACAGTACCGACTTTTATAACGTCTAAGTTGTGTCGAATTGTCTAGTCGTTTGATTCACTATCTTGCGTGCAAACATACGTCTAAAATCAGGAGAGCAATCGATTTTACGTGATCGATTTTTAACGTCGGCTTTCCGAATGCATTACCCTTCGGGCCTATTAAGTATCAAGGATCAATAATGTAAAATATAGGAATCTTTGTACACCATTTACTAGGAATTTATTTTGTTTTTGTCAGAATTGTAACATTATTAGGTACATTAAAAAATATATATAATAATATATAAATCATACATTAGCCGCCAATAGCAAACAATAAACCCATGTATAAATAGCTGTTCATACAATAG